CAGACTGCAGCTCCTGCAAAGCACCCTGAGGTGACACTTCAACATCCAGAACTTGTTCAGGTTCAGCAGCCAACTTTTTCTGAAGTCACAGCCACAGTTTTATCGTTTGACCTAGAAGTTACAATAACTCAGCCACAAGAGTCATCAGAGACAGTTCCTCCAATGACTGAACAGAGTGCCACCATGAACATCTGTGAGATCTGTTCCTGCAATAATGGGACACTGTCATGTATTGGTTTTGGCTCAAAGCAGAGGCTCAACAGAGTGCCAGTACCAGAGCCCAGCACCTATAATGGCACCTTCACCATCTTGTAAGAATTGCCTTTCCTCATTTGCTCTCTGCATCCTGGCTGACATGGCAGCCTTTTCCTTGAGGTTATCTCCCCCAAACCATGTTGAATGACTTTGTTTTTATCTTTGTTTGACAACTATTCCTTATCTGTATTCTCCTTAATACTATTGTTCCCCCTTAACCAGTCTTTTGCTTGCAAATTGCCCATATTTTCCAAATTTTTAGCCCTAGAATTTCATTCCTTAACCTCTACTGTCCTCCCACTTTTGCGCTTTACAGCAACATGGCCCTCTCCCAGTCTCATTGGTGGTGATACAACAAAGTGGTTAAGAGTAGAGATTCTACTGCCAGAATGACTGGGATTGAACCCAGTATGCCATTTATTAGTGTTGAGACTCAGTTTCCATACCTGTAAAATGAAGATTAGTTACCATTACATAGATTTGTTGTGAGTTTTAGAAGAGTATATATATATATATATATACTTATATAAAAATGATGGGTGGTGTCCGTCACATATAGACGAACGTCGATGGAGCGGAAAGAAGTCAGTCCTACAGAGGTTGTCTTGGCAAAGGCTGTGCCCTCCCCCAACCTGTTTCATGGAGCTGTTTCCTGTAAGGGCGGAGTATGAGTCAGGAACCTACCCTGGGAGCATGGAGGCAGATGTTTCTAAAGTGTGCAGCATGAGCATGGGGTGAACCTGAGTGGGGCGACTGAAAGGCTTAGAAAAGACAGACAAGAGAATGAAAGCCGGGTCTCGGTGGGACGCTGCTTCTCTGAGAGACAGCGACCACTCCCACAGCCATTCCTTTATTTTATAGCAGATGCTAGGAGGCAAAGTAAGGGTGTGACCAGGATGTTTACAAACATTCTTCTGGGTTTCAATCCTACTCAACTTCATGCACCTGAACTCTATCAAGCCCACATCACTCAGGCACATGGGGCCACGTGTTCAGACCATAGGTTCAAGCTTACAACTACAGCTGTTGGCTATAATTGTGCTGGGAGGGTCCTGCCCTCCAAGCTGGGACTTGCATGTGGCAGTGAGAGGACTGTGCCCTCTCATCAGTCCAAGGCTTGAACCTGTCCAAAACACTGTGGC